TTTGTTTTTGGTGTATTTTGTTTTGTTTTTAGTGCATTTTGTTTTGTTTTTCGTGTATTTTGTTTGGAAGTCGGTTTTGTTTTTTTTTAGTTAAAAAGGATATAATGTAAAAAAAAATATTTTCTAGTTCGAAGGCTTTTTAACATATATTAAAAAAAAAACAATAAGACAAGACGTTGTTTATTTGGTCCAGATGGTTTGAGCAGTTGTTAATTCTGTAACTTCAGTTGTGTTTTTAATAAGTTGTCGATTTCTTTAGATGATTACAACAGGGTGGTACTGGACACAGTTGACCGGGAACCAGATTCCGATTACATCAACGCTTCCTACATAGATGTAAGTATAGAATTATTATATAATTGTTTGAACAGTAAAAACTTTCTAAAATACTTTACTAGAATGGGAAATAATTAAAGAGACCGCAATCTTTAATTTCATTATGAAAATTAAATCTCTCGTTTTAAAGTCAAACAATTTGAAGCAATATTTATGCAAAGTATTCAAGCATAAAACACCTTGTAGATTTAAAATTTAAATAACTTTCAAAGTTAACCTCAAAACTCATTGTTGGCTTGTAAAGGATTGTTGAAAACATAATAACGAACTTTTCTACTTGAGCCTCTACGAGAAAAATAATAAGTTTAGTTTTAGTTACTTTATATCTACAGAACTTTCTGGAATAAATATAATTATACCTACGCATAATATCCGATGACACTGATAGTATTAGAGCGTGTTCACATCTGAAAGTAAACTATCGCACAAGTGTTTAGTCTCGCTATACGCTTATATGGAGAATCACACACTACTCGATTTTTAGTTGTGCAACTAAACAGTTGAATTTGCTATGAAACAATCCACTATCGTCAATCGAACAATAGTTTTGCGATAGATCAGTCAAAGGTATGCACTCGCTCTTAAAATTAAAAAAACAAATGAACCCCGTTCATCGTATCCCTTGAGACTTACAAGTAAATAACGGAAGGATAACTTTATGCAAAATCGATTAAAGAACTAAACATTTTACATTCACAGAGTATATTAAAGCCTAACGCGTACATAGTAACCCAGGGGCCAACCGAGGAGACTGTGGTAGATTTCTGGCGTATGATTTGGCAGGAACGAGCTGCTGCCATTGTCATGTTGACTAAAACCTTCGACTTCATAAAGGTAAATAATATTATACATAGTTACGATAACTGCCGCACTCAGAAACCGAAAACGTTTACTTTATCTACACTAAATCCAAAGCGTCTTTCTTTCTAAGAACATAATGACTCATGAATCTTTTCATTTGTTTTTACTTAAACCTAAGATTACTAAAATCCATTTTGTCTGTTTGTTCTGATTGTTTTTCTTTTTTAGGTCATGTGTGTTCAGTACTGGCCACCAAATAAAGAGAAAGACGAAACCTATGGCGACATCAGCGTTGGAATTGTCCAAGAAGAAGAACTTGCCAACTTCCACATTCGTACATTCAGACTGTACAAAAGTGAAAAAAGTGTAAGTATACAATTAATTTTCTATCTTTAACAAAAATAATCTGTTCACAGTCCGCTTAAAGTATTTTTCGTATAATAAATGTCACGTGTTTTCATACAGGTTGTGGTAGAGGAACGTTTCATTCTGCAGTTCCATTACACGCAGTGGCACTCCCACACGTGTCCCTTCAGCAACGCTTTACTGGAGTTCAGACGCCGTGTCAGGGCTGTAGTGGGCCGTCGATTAGCAACTAATCCCGCCGCTGGACCTATGGTGGTTCACTGCAAGTGAGTCATATACTGAGACATTCTGTCATTAATTCCGCGTTCAGAAATATTTAATGGTTTCTTAAATTCCCTTTAGGGACCATCAAACAGTTTTTCTCATACAATTTCCTCTTTTATTAAACAGTGACGGTGGCGGAAGGTCAGGCGTATACCTAGCAATAGACGCTAATCTAGAACTAGCTGAAGAAGAAGACAGCTTTGATGTATACGGATATTTAAAGAAGCTGAGGAAATCTCGAAAAGGTCTTATCGAAAACGAGGTAATAAAATAAACTTATTTAAATATACACTTATTCTCTGTGACTTAATAAACGTTACATGTAAACAATGTTACCCGCAGGAACAATACAAATTCGTTTACGACACACTGGAGGAGCATGTTGTTTGCGGCATTTCATGGTTTCCAGTATCGGAACTATCACAAAGACTGAAGCAGAAATCTCAAAGGGATCCAGTAACAAAACTTAATGAATACCAAAAAGAGTATCAGCAGATTTGCAAACAGACTCCCCGGTTCACGATCGGCGACTGTGCCGGCGGCCATCGGGGAGACAACAGAGAGAAAAACCGGGATGTTTTAGTCGTGCCTCGTAAGTCTCAATGGAATCGCAAACCTTTATCATTCCAAATTTAATCATACTAATCCTTTTTTTTATTTTTGTAGCTGATAATTTTCGCCCGTACTTGACATCCTTTCAAGGAAATAGTTTTACGGATTACATCAACGCAGTATTCGTTGACGTAAGTACAAAATAATTATATGGTTTATGCGAAGTAATAAGTTTTGGTTGAATTTGCGTAATTGCTTTAACTTTCAGGGTTACACGAAGCCCCGTGAGTATATAGTTACGGAATGGCCCTTAATAAGAACTCAAGGAGAGTTTTGGTCCTTAGTGTACGATTACGAATGCGCCGCTGTTGTCGTATTGTGTGTTCCTCCGAAAAATTCTGTACGTAAACCAATGAATTTATTTTTTATTTACTTTCCTTTTTGAAACTAATAATTTTTATATTTTTTGCAGCAACAATATCCACCGTTCTGGCCAGAAGGACGTCATTCTAAAAAGTACGGTCCAGTGTTTACTATCGATCATGTTTCCCACAATCATTACACCAACATCAAAACCTGGATATTTAGAATTAACAAAAAGGTAAATGGTCTTTTTTGGTCGTTAATTGTTTACTTTGTGTAATGTGTTAATTGCAATTAAAACTTGTATCTTGGTGATTTTATCGTAGATAGTATCGCTGACGGAGCTGATGGCCGGTGTGAAGGCGCCCCCGAAGACCGTGCAGTTGTTCCAGCTGACGTGTTGGCCGATGGGCCACAAGGTGCCCTCCTCCACCAACTCCCTGGTCGAGCTCATGAACATGGTGGAGCGCTGGCGGCAGCGCACTGACTACGGACCTGTCTGTGTTGTCTCCCCGTGCGTAAACATTAAGCTTATGGCTGCCAGCATAACAAAAAACTGCATTAGTTTAACAGTTATTAAATAATTTCTATACTTTTGTAGAGATGGACGAAGTCGTGCGGGAGTGTATTGCGCGGCGAACGCCTGCATCGAACAAGTCATTCAACACGGCGAAGTTGATGTGTTCCAGGCCGTCAAAACTGTGCGCCGACATCGACCGCAACTTGTCGAGAACATGGTGAGTGCCAAGCAAAACTCGATAACGATAAATGTAGACCATTTGATGTTTATTCATGTTTTTGATTTTTCAGACTGAATACAAATACTGCTACGACCTTGTGCTGCATTATGTGCTGCATTATTTAAATAAGGACATGAATGAAAAAAAGTGAGAGTGTGAATTGAAAGACGAACTCTGGTTCATCGAGTTTGGACGCGGTGCGGCTCTACCCACAACGCCGGAGGAGACTAGTCCGACGGCACGGCCGCGCGACAAGCGGCAGCAACGCCCGCTGCGGCCTCGGCGCGGCTTGTCGCTCGACCGTTTGCTGCCGACTCCCTCGCGGCCGCCGCTGCCGCACGCAGCCACGATGGAGGCACCGCGTCGACCTCGCCGCGACCGTCCACCCCTGCGCCGCTCCATACGTCTCGAAGATGAAGAAGGCGCAGCAGAGGAACGTCGCCGAGTATTCGGCCACGGCCCGCGTGCTCCTTCTTTTGATGAAGGAGACGTGAGCGACGAACACGATGTAGAATGTGAATGTCGCAGATCATTCGAGCGTTCAGGTCCCTCCGCCGAAACGCAAGAAGATGAAGACGAATACGAACCAGAGTTCGTCACCTCTCCACCTATCGAACCTTTACCGAAAGCACACCCGCACATGCGCGGCGTTTCCGCAGACCGTGTACTGGACCGGAGGGACGGTATGTTCGGTCCACGTGGACCTTCTCGAGCTCATTCTCAAGGAGTATTTGAGCGGCGATTACCAAAGATTTATAAATTGGGATTGATAGATAAATCTAAGCGAGCGAGTTCTAGTGCACTTTATGATCGAGCCGATCGATCTCCTACCGAGGCCTTCTACAATGCGACCGGTTCAACGCGACTCAGTTCGCAGGAGCTATTTGAGAAATTTTGTTCAGAAGATTTTACTTCGCTCTACGGACGGGAAGACGATCGACGCCGGCGTCCCCCGCATTCGAAGTCGACGGGAAGCAGCGGTTCGGATGTCCGACACGAAAGAGCATGTTGCAAGCGAACACCTTGCGGTTCGCAGCCGGCGCTTTCTCGTCGTCAAATATACCACGCTCCGCGATCAGATCGCTCCACGGACTCCGAAGAAATGTCACCGCGGCGTGCCGGTATAAGGCCTTTACCACTCGAAGGCAGTGTACAAACGTCAGAAGACTGTTCTCGATCGGCCCCACTTCTTAGCCCGGATAGATTCGAGGCGCGCTTCACTTTTGATATATCTGAAAGAAGCGAAGTTACTTCAAATCGTGATGAGACTCCGTCTGATGCTACAGAGACACGGAATCTAACTTTATACGAGGAACCGCACTCCGATCGTACCAGCATTTGTGAATTATACGACGCCGCATTTACATCTCATAGACCTTCTTTTAGAAGAGATGGCTCGAAACGGCGAATGGGTCCGTTTGACTTAAGCGCCCTAGACTTTCGACCTATCGACGATGAAAGTCCGCGTGCGAGTCGTCGTACCTCACAAAGGAGCGTCGATGATACTATGCGTCAAACCTCGGAGACCCGAAGCTGGGCCTCGGATTCGGTATTCGCAACTCCGGAGCGTCGAGTAGCGGATACGTCACCATCTTCTACCGGTACTCGACGTTATTTAGCGGTTCAGGTCGAGTCTCCTCGAGCTGATTCTGCAGCGGCAGATTCCACTCTCGCGGATACTACCGTGACAGAAGAACCTAGTGTGATCGAACGTTCCGAATACGCGTTAGCTTTAAAGCTCGGGCGGATAGACTTGGAGGATGCACTAGATCGCCCGGCGTCTACATTGACAGCGGACAGTGCAAGATTATCTAGTAGGCCTTCTATGCATAAACTCGAACCCATAGAGCCCGAACGCCTGTGTGGCGGAGCCGGAGGTGTGGCTGGTGGCATTGAGAGCGAGGCAGAGAGCACCCGGGCGAGTTCCGTGGCAGCGGGGGCGAGTGCGTCAGCGACGTCGACGCTCGGCCGGCGGAGGCGCGGAACCAGCGAGCCGCGGCGCTCAGCGCGGTGCTTCCCGCTCTGATGGCGCGAGGCGGCGCCGGGCCCGCCGCCGCGCCGCAGCCGCCGCGCTCTCCAAGCCGTGCCTTCTCGCCGCCGCGCGCGCGCGGATGCGATTCACAGTCTTAACTTTCTATTGGAAAATGTAGATCTTCGTATGTTAGTTAGAGGGTCCACTGTAGGTATAGCTTAGCGGACCCATTCCGACTCCTTAGTATGTGGTTAAATTCTTTTTACACTATTAATAACCTTAGTCTTCGCCTGTTCACTAAACCATAACTGCCAAATTTCTATAAAACGTATAAATTTATTAGCATTACTTGTAAAAATAAAAAAATAGTTTAACTATGGACGGAATCGTCGGTTAGGCTGCGCCTGGGGCGACTACCTGCGTAGAATGAAGGATTCTAAAAAATTTAGATAGAAACAAAATCGATCTAAAGGCTCTTCGTGGATACTTTGGTCGCAGTCCATGATTGACACAGGGTCATCGTATATTGATAAACACATTTCTCCATCAATCAAACCGACCTTCGAAAAGGTTCATAATTTACAGCACAATTATGAAACAATTTTAAAACATTGCTAATTTCAGTGTGACTGAAATTTTATAAAGTAGGAAATGAAGAAAATAACTTTTTAACTGTAAATTGCGTTATTTGCGGCTTGCTGAACAGTATGTATAATTAAAAAAATATTCTCGTTTCTTTTATTTTTATGCTCGCAAAATATAGTTAAAACAAACTATCAGTACAGATGGAATTGTAAGAAATAAAATGAGCAAGATTTATAAAGTCCTAAATAAAAACAAATGCCATTTGTAATTGTTATATGTATTTTATGTAATGTTTACATTTAAATTAGCAAAATAATGATTTAATATTTTGATGTTCGTGTTTTTAAATATCTAGATGTTGTTAGGTGTTCGTAGTTTTATTCCATTGGGTAAGAATGTTCTATTGTACTAGGATTTAATTTATGTGAATAATAGCAATTTACGTTACCGGCACAATCGCAGAACTGAGGTGTCCGTCCACAATTTGCGCCAATGTAAACCAAAATATTCCTTTATTATTTGCTTTACTATTTTTGGGCTTAGAGACGATGGGGACATAAACCAGAAAGTGTTAAGAATGAATGTGGATGGCTACAAGAGGAAGACCGAAAATAGTATGGATGGATTGTGTGTAAGGGGATATGCTTAAGAAAGGAGTGGATTCAGATATGACGGCTGATAGAGATGTATGGAAGAGCACACACTGGGCAAGTTGATGATGGTAACTATTCTTTGGGTTTACTCCACACGGTATCAGATACCAGATCGTACTTGATTTTAGATTTTAATATTTTTATTATTTACATCCTTGATTTAAAATAATAATAATCAACAAAGTAATCTAATCCATTCAGAAGGCAAACATTTAATTACATAGTTGAAAAAAATACTCATGTTTAACAAATCAAATTCATCATTAAAAAAATATATTTTGAATCACAAAGAAAAACTTAAATTCTCACAAATTCTAAAAAGCCATTCGCGTAATTACGTACTAGTTATTTATATTTTTGAAAAAGATTGTTCACATAAATTAAGTCCTCAGCAAATTTTATATACCTAATTGTTTGTGCTATTGTATATTGTTTGTGATTGTAAATCAAACGTATAATGTAATATTTATAAATATATATTTTGTAATGTGTATTCCTTTGTACGTGTACTTAACTCATATGTGCCAACTGCAAAAGCAACGGTACTTTATTACCTAAATATATTTATTATACGAGTTATATAAAAATTATTCCAGTATGTATAGCGTCATTCGAATGATCATTACTTGTGCCTACCCGTAATTGGTATCGATGCGTAATATCTTTACACTCAGTACAGTCAGCTTCATAAACACGTATACAATTACAAAGCTTCTAAACTATAATATGTTTTGCACGCCGGATGGTTAACATCCGTCCTTATAAGTAACAATAGACGTATACAAGTTTCTAAATCGGTAACTTGCTGTTGCTCGCGACTTCGTCTGCGTGGAATTAAAAATTATTGCCTATGCTACTCACAGATAAATTACCTCTCTAATGGTAAAAGAGTTTTAAAATCAGCCTTGTACTTTTTGAGTTATTTCAAAACATACAAAAATAGAAATCTTTCCTTTTCATAATGTTAGTATAGATACATTTATGCAGCTGACAGTAGTTCGTTAGAAAGATAACGGTTTCCTAAGTTTATTGCTTAAAGCTTATTGGTAAAGATAAAAAGGTAATTTTCAAAAATCATGGAAGGGTGGCTGGTCAACAATTAAAAATCTAACCAAATTATCACATAAAGAGACATTAATATTAGGTATGTATTGCGTAGTCGGTATTTCTAAATGTAAAGTCCAAGATAACGGATTTATTCGTACCAATTTTGTATATATTGACAACTTTTAATTGTTAAAACTATTTAATTATAGGAATTAAATCGATATTTTTTTGTTTTTACTTTATTTTTAAATGTTTATCGTTAATTTAAATGATGTTATGCATTTTGTAATTATTTAGAGGTCATTATTTGCTGAGAATTGTTGACTGTCTGATTACTCTCATGTACACAAACTGTTGTCTCTGTTTTCTGGAAGTAAATGAAAGAGATATCAACATGCTAGCATATTTCGACAGACATTATCTATAATGCATTATTGTAACTGAAAACGCACAACCATTATCGAGTCCTGAATTAGTATGTTTGTAATAATTATTTTTAAATACAAGGCTTCTAAATAAAGACTGTGAGATTAACTGGTCTGTTTGTATGTCCTACGATATAACTGACTGAATGCTTTATCCATTGTATTGATTTCTTTGTTTTAATTTTTACCGTGGGATTTCAATATTAAAGTGATAACAAACGGTCATATCTCATTTTCTCTGAAAACCTGACGAAAACTACAAATAAGTTTGGATATTTCAGTAGAAAATTTTAATTAAAACATTTTTAAGTTATTGCAACACATTTAAAATAGAAATAGAATCTTGTTGGATAATGTTTTTTTACTGACGTAATTGTTTATATCATCAATTTGTGTTTGTTAAGATAAATTGAAATATTAAAGTGTGGTGTGGAGTGCTTTATGGAATTAGTTTAAAAGCCATGTGGACCATTATTCAATGTTTTTGTGATAGTGATGTATGTTACATTAACCAGTATATAAATGAGTTTTCCTTATAATCGTAATCAGATAGCTATCTCGCACCGACCATCTCTATGTAAATAAGTGTAATGTAAAGTAGATTACTTACTTATATTATACCAAATTATAAAAGTATTGTATACCGTATACACATATTAATGTATTTGATTATAGAAAGCAAATATGTAACTTAACTATATTATATAAATTATATAGGAACATTGTGATTTCAAGTTTTCAACTTCCAAAAACATTGTAATATAAATTTATCGAGATATTGTTGTCATGGATGTTATTTAAAAGGTAATTTTAAAATTTATACATGGAACTTAATGGAAAATATATTTATTTGTTGTATAAAATCACGAGTTTTATTTGTTTAACAAGAACATATTACCTTATTAAAAATGAGTATATTAGAGGAAGTTTGCGGTTTTCGCGGAACTTTCTGCCCCGCACAGCCGCGTTGGAACGGTCTGTCCTCGGCGGTATTTCCAAAAAAATACGACTAAGATCTCATTTTATGTTAATTAAATTCGACCTAATTATCATCATTAAGATAAAAATAAATTAACAATAAAGCTTGGCACATAAATAAAACAATTAAAACTTTGCGCATAACATTTACATACGAATTTAAGCAAACAGTAATTAAATATGTTTAATTTCAGTAAATAAAGTTTATTTCAAACATACAATTAACTCGGATTTATTTGCTGTTTAGATCTAAAGTTACATCAGACCGGGTCATTTGTTTCGGACTATAAGCTGTGTTTTCTAAACTGGCTTTATTCCAAATGGGCTTTGTCCCGGCTTCAAATTTATATCGACGATAATATCTGAGTACTTCCCGTGGTTTTGACACAATTCTGTTTGATTTACTATACAAAGGCTCAGTACCACAGTTGCGTTTAGTAGCATACTTAAGGAGCTTTTCCAGGGATCTTGATTCTGAGGACGGATACAGACTGTTAGACTAACTATCGCATGCGACTCCGTCCGCGTGGTATTGAAAATAAATGAAAGTAAGCCTTCACATTTATAAGCTACAAACTCTATCAAACATCCATCCATCTATCTAAACTTTCATTTAGTAACTAAGAGTAATAGATTTGATTAAGCAATCCTGATTCGCAAATCATAGAAAGGACTACATATTTACCTCAGTTACATGATATTCCTGTCAGTGAGGTAAAAAACTTACTTTTACTCGCAATCTTTCATGCGAGGGAATTTTATCCACACACGTGATAAATTATGCCACAGAATGAATGATTGCTTTCCGTCGGCATGAAAGTTTCTATCGAAAAAATATGTACGGTATCTAACATAAAAAAATGCTTGAATAAAAGTAATAAAGCGGAAAGTACGAAAACTTGTGACATTTTAATACAAAAGCATGTTATTTTGTTATTGTTATTTATTTAACACTAGCTTTCGCACGCGACTCCGTCTCTCCGAATTATAAAAAAACCAAAGTGAGCAGCCTATGTGTTCCTCCAGACTATCCTCTAGGTCTACGCCAAATTTCATCGAGATCCGTGCACCTTTAAGCCTATAAACTCTAACAAACATCCATCTAAACTTTCGCATTTATTATATAAGTAAGAAGTAAGATAGCTATTGCTCTGAGATTTGAAAAAAACATGAAATTAACCAAAAAAAATGTCCTATGTTATAATAATACTCACAGATAAATTACCTATGTAAAGGTGAAAGAATTTTTAAAATCGGCCCTGTTTTTGAGTTACAATACATACAAAAATTCAAATCTATCTTCTTCATAATATT